ATAAAGAAAAACAAATGTTAATTTTATCACTGACAAACAACTAAATATCTGATATGATTCATAATATGAAATTCGTCTATCTATTTTTTCGATGCAGATGGTTCAACTTCAAAACTATATACTTATTTCATGAACAAAAAATTGAAAAAATTCTAATGATGGTGTAGGATTTATGAATTATGAAGTAGGGTTTACTTTACTTTGTTTCGTTGGGGATCGATGCTTTTATAATCACAACATAAATTATTTTAAGATTTCTGAATTATAACTTGATTGATACTAATCGACATCATACGACGATGGTCAAGATCCTGCCACCATGAGCAAATTGGAACATTCCTTACAACATATAAAATTATATTGATAATTGGCTAGTAAAAAAAAATCCTAACTTGATAACTAGATGTGGTGGTGAGTAATCTCATAAGTATTATGTCTATAAAAATTCATATTTACGTTTTTCATTTTCTTTAATATTGTAGCATTTGTACCGAATTTGAACTTGGAAACACATTTTTTTTTTGTTTCAAGATGTTAGTTTATGCTTGCTTATTTCTTTTGAATTTGCTTGATATCAGCAATTTGTTTCGGAACAGAAGCTATTTACAGAGAAACAGCTTCAACAACATTTAAGATCAGGTGATTTCCAATTAGATAAGAGCTCATCTGAAAGTGAAAACTTCAAAGGTCATCCTCATTGGAAACAGTGCGTCAATCCATTTTACGGGGACAAGGAAGTCTTCATTCATATGCCTCTTTTGATTTGTCCATGTCATGTATGCGACGGGTAAGGCAATGTAAACTTAGAGGAGTTACAATTATACGGGTAATGCAAAAGATTTTCTTTGCTGCATTTTTGCAAGTTGTTTCCGGATTCAAAAACAGTTCATCTAGAGGACCACTTTCGGCAAGATATTCATATCAAACCCGGGGATAAATACTGGAAGTCGAAATTCTCGATCCCTAGAGCGTTCTGTGATGAACAAGTGTTGAAAGTAAACACTCAACTTCCTTGTTTCTCTATCTGTCTTTGGTTCAATATGCATTATGTTGACACGATCATATTTTCAGCGGCATGTTCAAAACGAGCGTGGAGCGTTCTGCACCAGTTCAGTATGGTTGGAGATCATGGTTGGACGATACCGGTACTCGGTGAAGTTAGAAAGTTCTGATAGTGATACTTCTAAGACCCACGGTACAAAGAACTTCACTTTCTCTTATTACAATAACTTCCCTTTCTCTTATTACAAACTTTCTTGTTCTTTGCTTTGTTTATATCCGGATATGGCCTGTGTTACTAGTATTATATGTATACATCACTCTGTAATTCTGGTTAAAATACACAAATTGAGAAAGAAAAAACTTTTAATATTTTGATAAAGCCTTTTTTTATATGAATACAAGTTTGTTCAAAATACACAAATTGAGAAAGAAAAAACTTAACATTTTGATAAAGCTTTCTTAAAAGCCACTTTACCATATGAACTCAACTCTTCTTCTGGATCTTCCTTTTGCTTCTGAGGTAATTGCCTTTTGTTGCATAAGTGTCGCACTACAACAAAAGTAATCCCTCAAATTTTTATTAACAAGACAAGACAAATTCTCAATCTTTTCATAACAAATAGATTCATCAACATTATTACCTTGGATCCGGAAGAAGAGGTTCCTCCGTACAGAAAATCGCCATAACCATTATCAAAACACTAAAGCTGCCACTATCAGAAGTATTCACCATAAGTCGAGCTTGTTTGAGGATCCCTCAATTTCAAACTCAATTCCATCACATGAGTTGTACAAGTAAATAATATGCAGTAGCACTTGAATCACATTCAGCAACAGCATAATAATGCCTGAAACAGAGCGATGGCAATTGTAGTCAGTTTGAATAAGAATAATACTTGATCATCCTCCACCAAACTAAGGCTAAAAAGAGCAGATTATTTTAACATAAGTTCCGACATACTCATCTTCCTCCTCTCTAGACTGACTTAGATGGATAGACCACCACTGACAAAACGCGTCCATCTATCGACAGAAACGAATCCAATAGTAACAACAAGTCTTTGGCCTAAGATAACAAATAAGATATTAGCCATAAGAACACAAGACTAACTCTTTCATAGCATAAGCTTAGTCCTAGTTCCATATCCATATAGCGTAAAAAGAGCCAATTTGAAACACTAGGGAATCTTGGATCCGTAATAACATGACCTCCTTCCTCTGCCTCTGCCATTGCACCGGAAGGTTCTCTCGGTAAATTAGGGTTGCTTGGGCTATTATTTATTTGATTTTGTCTCTAAATTATGATTTATTGAGATTAATTTGTTTCTTCTCCCTTTCATTATTAATTTATTCATATTCATATGTGTATGTTGTTTATTTTGAATTACCAGAGATTTGACAATTATTAACTCTCTTTTGCTGACAACTTTGATGATTATTATTCTTCATATTTGGCCTCTGAAAAAGAAAAATCTGACAAATTCAAAAGCAAAATGATAGAAAATCCAGAAATTTTCAGCCGTTGAGTGGAATTCTTTGGAATTATTCATTGTGGCGAAACATAATTTAACCACTGTACAAATTTTCATATCTACGGATATTATTATAATTGGTAACAAAAATATTAATGTGATTGTAAAATGATACAACGTATACAATTGCACATACTAAAAAAAAGTACACAAAAACCTGACTTTTTCTACATACCCTTGAAAATGGAGTAAATAATTTTCTTCCGTATAAGAATCTCGTCTTGAAAATGAAATTAAACTTTATCGTTTGTTCTTACAAAAATAATTAAAAAAAAACAAATGCAACAACTTGAATAATTAAATTGTTCCTTTTGCCTCTATTTGAAGGTGTAGCAAGAACCTGATACGGCACTCTTTATTTCGAGTATAGATGCGAAAGAGTTCTTTAAGCTTCGCATCAAAACAATACCTTTTTTTTTCGAAACAACTATAAGTGTTAAGTGGTTACTACTGTTGGTGAAAGTGGTGTAGTCCATACTTGACCACTTCGTAAAAGGAAACCACAATGGCTACAGATGGTCCTGCCCGTCCGACTCGAGCCCCTGCTCCACTAAACATCCCTCTCATTCCTCCGTCCCTAACCAAACAAAAAACCCGACATACGATTTAAAGTTTTCAACTTTCCGGTTTTCGG